CAAGTTCATGCATCATGGCTTTCTTCCAACAATCTTTAGTAACAGTTTGTTTGTAGTTTGAAGCCTCAGTATGAGCAGAAATAGAGTGACAGAAAGTAGAATAGGAAGAAGAACATTTATTATATGATATGTAGTTTTGTATAGGATAACAAACCTTGTTAGAATTAGATGTGGGAGTTGCAAAACAATCTGTCGGGTGACAATAATAGTCCTTTGAGTATCCAGGTGTGGCTTTATGTCTTATGGACATCCTAGAAGGAAGAGTGAGAACTTGAGTATTTTGTGAATCTTGTATGGATGAAGTAGATTGGAAAGGATTAGAATTAGAATTAGAGTTAGAAGAAGATTGGGAATGTTGTGAAGATTGAGAAGAAAAATGAGGTTGAGAATGATGAGAAGAATCAAAATCAAATTTTTGTGTGGTATTTGAATTTGAATTTGATGATTGAGAATGAATTTGAAGAGTTGTTGGGTAAATATCATAATAGTCAAAAGTGTAAGGATTACTTGTGGTTGTGATGATGGAATTTGGTGAATGTTGATGAAAACTGATATATGGAAACACAGTTTCATGAAAACCACATTTTTGGAAATAGATATGAACCTTGAATTCAAGTTGTATAGAACATGTCCTTTTGTTCCAGTTTTCTGATCAAGATATATACATTGGATGGTTCTTTGAGCCAGTTTTGATCTATTGGCAGATAGAGTAGAGACATATGATCGGCATCCAAATGTTATTACGTCAAGCAGATTTGGTTTAATGTGATAAACCATTTCAAAGGGAGATTTGTTTTGCAGGAATCTAGAAGGTAAACGATTTATGAGATGGACAACATGTTTGACTGCATTGGACCAGAAGATATTTGGAATTTGTGATTGAAAAAACTAAGGCTCTACAGAATTTTAGAAGATGTTGATGCTTTCTCTCCACAATTCCATTTTGTTGTGGAGTAGCAACACAAGTAGTTTCAAGTAGAATGCCTTTTGAAGTAAAGAAATCAGTAAGGAAAAATTCTTTTCCATTGTCTGATCTGAGTCTTTTTAACTTGCAATTATGCTGATTTTCATTAAGAATGATGAAATCTTGAAGAACATACTTGACTTCTTGTTTAGATATCATTAAATGAATCCAGGTAAAACGTCTGAAATCATCAACAATTGTTAGGAAATACTTGTATCCTTCAATGGAAGTGATAGCAAGTGGTCTCCAAATGTCAACATGAATAAGTTCAAAGAAGGCAGAAGTTTTAGTAATGCTATCAGGAAATGGCAATTTCTTTTGTTTTGCAAAGGAACAAGCATCACAAATTTGAACAACAGAGAATTTTATTGATGGATATTGAGAGGACAAAGTTTGAAGAACATTGTTTGAAGGATGGCCTAATTTTTTATGCCATACAACAAGACTAGGTGTATGTATACTCAAACTTTTATTACAAGTATCACTGATGACAGAAGTAACTAAAGTCTCACTATGATCTATTGAATGAAAACAAGCCAGATTGTTCTTTAGCTGCTCGAATCCTCCTGAAGGTATGCTTATGCAAAATAACACAATCATGGTCATAAAAATGACAACACAATTGAGAGTTTTGGTAAGTTTGGAAATTGATATTAAAGACACTGTAAACTCTGGAACATAGAGTGTATCATATAGGATAAGATTGCCAAGTCGAATTGTTCCAGAATGTCTAACTGTCACAGAATTATTGTTGGGAAATTTTATTGAAATAGGAGGATTGATGTTTAAAGAGAGAAAACGTGATTTATGTGGACGGATCACGGATGTGGTCAGTGGCACGACTATCTATAAGCCAAGATGAAACGGATTAATACCTACATGGTTTATGAAAGAGTTATGATCATTGTCAGAGTTATAAACACTGTTGACAACAAAAGAATGATTTGGAGACTATTGTAGCAAAGCCAGAAGTGCATGATATTGATCCTTTGAGAAACTAAAATTGTTCTGAGATTGATCTTCGTCCTGAATTGAATTTGATGTAGCAGAAGGATAGGTAGTTTCAAGCACATATGCAGAAGATTGTTTCGTTCCAGAATTGTTTCTATATCCTTCATTTGCATTGTTTCCATAACCTGGTGCATATCCATGAATTAAAAAGCATGTCTCTATAGTATGGTTGGTTCTGTTGCATTTGGTGCAGAATTTCTTGTTCTTGTTCCCATATCCTCTACCAGAACGACCACCACGGAAGCCTGAGAATCCACCTCGATTATTAGAAGATCATCACGGTTATTTGAAAATTTTGGAGCTGAATCATTATTTCCTTGGTACAAAGCATTGGCTGAAACTTCTTGAGGTATAACAGAAATATTTCCTCCAAACTCACGTTCTTGCTGCAGAACCAAAGAGAATGATCAAGACAGGTTTGGCATTGGTTCAATCAACATTACTTGAGAACGAACTTGAGAAAAAAAACATAATTAAGACCTCTTAAAAACTTAATAACACAATCATCATCTCTTTTCTTCTGTATTTTCTCGAGAATTTCACAATTGCATTTCGGATTACAAGAACAAATAAGAACAACACGATATATGGATAATTCCTTCCATATAATTTGTAATTGAGTGAAATAATGAGATACAGTAAGATCATCTTGCTTACAATTTTGAATTTGTTCTTGCAGATCAGCAATACAAAATTTATCACCATGAGAAAAACGATCACATAAATCCTTTCATATTTCCGAGGCTGAGTCGATCCACATCACTAATTGACGAATAGAAGATGTCATGTAGCGAGTGAGCCATGATATAACCATTTTATTGCAGCGACGCCAAGCTTCATACAATTGATCTTCAGGTTTTGGACATGAAAGAGTACCAAGAAAAAACTGATCCTTGTTCTTAGTTTCAAGTGCGACGAGCATATCATGCTTCCTGATAGAGTATTAATTCTAGAGAGAAGTGAGAGCTAGAGGGAGAAAGTGAGTAATTATATTTCTCAACCCCCTATAACTAGCCCCAAGGGGTCTATTTATAGGTAAAAATGTGGATTTGGGCTCCTAGCCATGGGCTTAGGAGGCCCATTACAATAATCATGCCTTCTTGGCGAAATAGGGCCACTAATGGGCTGTGTACAATACTTAGTAAATAAAGTAGAGAGATGTATTCTGCCAGGATGAAGTCTGGCCGACGCGGTGCCTTTTGACCGATGCGGTCCCATGGCCGATGCGGTCCATGGGCCGATGCGGCCCCCGGGAGTCCAGGCGCGCTTCCTGGGCCGGTTCGGTTTCTGGCCGATGCGGACCCACTGGCCGAAGGGAGCCACGTGTTGAAAATTGGGCCATGGGGTCCAGGCCCATATACTCTATCACTTCCATTGTTGAAAATTGTTTTCAGCAAGCAATGGTGAAACCGGGATGAGAGCTGGATTCTCTTCTGGATGTAGGAATAACAGATTTGCTGGATTAACTAAATGATCAGACAACTGATTTCCATTAGCCATTTTTGAAGAAGAAAGGAAGAATTTAGGAAAAAAAAATGAAGCGGTGATTAAAAAGATGCTTTTGATTCTCTAATACCATCTTAGCAAATGAAACCGAAAACAGAAATGAATTGTATTGATTGGCTTGATTTACATCCAGCTCATGTATTCATATTACAAAAGTAACTAACTAGCTATAACCAGCTAACTGAGAAATTAAAAGTTTTTACTTTTATATCTAATAAACTAAGCAGATAATTACAAAATGGATCTTGGCTTCTCCGATGTTATGTGTTCCGTTAGTAATAAAGTTTGGATTTTTTGGGAATCCGGTTATATCTGGAGGTATTTTTGGCCAATTTACCATGAAGAACAAGTCTCGCAGCTCCTTGGATCTCCCTAGAAGTAATCGTTGGCTTGTTGTTGTAATCTTGAGCGAGCTTCTCGAAGACGTCACTGATGAAACTGTTCATAATCCTCATAGCCTTGCTGGAAATTCTAATGTTTTGCTTTACTCAGGTAATGTAAAAGAGGACATTTGTAATTTTTTTCAGAAAAGAAAATATGGAACAATCTTAATGGGACGAAGGGAGTATTTGTTGAGATTATCTCATAATCACGCTCACTCAAAGTGCGAGATCAGGAGATCATTTTCCTGCACAAAATGTATAGCATTTGATAGGCGTGGCATTGGGCTGGTTCCTAAGGGCGATGGTGAGGAGTTCCTCGCAGCAAAAAGCGTAGCATTGCGAGGACAATTTTCATCAAGCACCATGGAAGCGATGGCGATTGAAGAGGCGGCTAGGTGGGCTGTTGACCCCGGATGGCAAAATCTAATTAGAGCTTGATGCTCAACAAATTGCTCAACAAATCTAATTACACTACCATGATGTTACTTTTTAAAATATTAGATATTGTTAATGTAAATGTCAATATGTGCACCGATCAGCGAATCAGATTGCCCACACTCTTGTTAGGGAAGCCTGTTATGGGTATGATGGTATCTGAGATCTTCATCCCCTAATTGTATTGTTCATGTGTTCAGATTTGATGAATAATAAAGTTATTTATTTTTCAAAAGGCTAAAGGGTCAAATAGGCCCTCGAACCAACTTAAAAAATGCATATCACCCCTTATATATGAAGCTTTGTTCGGCCGTCGCCAATTGGGGTGGTTCTTGGTGAAATTTTTCGATGAAATCTTTTGAGCACCATCTTCATTAAGTCTAGTTTACTCATACCAAATTTCATCTAAAAATTCATGGGAAGACAATCAAATGATTTTCTGAAATGCACTGTGCTATTTAACTGTGCAGTTATCTTCAAAAATTCATTTAACTGCCTTCCCGATTGAATTTTTTGCTGAAATTTGGTATGAATAAACTAGACTTAATGAAAAAGATGCTCAAATTTTTTTATCAAAATATTTCACCGGGAACCATTGGCGACGGCTGGACATAATCTCTTATATAAGAGATGGTTTGCACTTTTTAACTTAGTTTGATGGTTTATTTGACCCTTTAAACTTTTCAAAAGAACGTATAGCATTTGATGATTCACACTATAATGAACTTGAACAACAAATGATGAAACAAATTGAGCGTGAATTCTTTTGTAATGAACAAAAGGAAAAACATATACGAAGTATATTGGTAATTGAACCCCTCTCCACATTGAAAACCATGCATCCATCTATTAGAACTATAAATAAATTCCCAGAAACTCACAAGGTAGCGAATCATCAAGGGGTCTTCACATTTGAATCCTTAGGTTTGATTTCTTCCAAAGACAGCCTATTTTCAGCGCCTGAGTTTCGGACCTCTTCAATCATCCTAACAACTTCATCCATGTCAGGTCTCATATCAGGAACCCTCACCACACACGCCATAGCAATCTGCAGCATCTGAACCATCTCTTCTTCCACATTCTGAAATTTCATCAAGTCCACATCGAACACTTCGGCAGTCCATTCTTCTCTGACCACCGACTGGACCCACCTTGGAAGATCTACCACGTCATCACGCCCGGGTGATTGAATTGGAAGCTTTCCAGTAAGCATTTCTAGCAGTAAGACTCCGAAGCTGTAAACATCTGATTTGTGCGTGTGCTTACGAGTTTCAATCACCTCTGGGGCCCGGTATCCAGGTTGCTTAGGAGGTCCAGAGAAGTTAATGACAGAAGACAGACCAAAATCAGTGACACAAGCGTCGAAATCCTGGTTAAGAAGTATATTTGAGGACTTTATATTTCCATGAGTGAATTTGGCACCACCACTATGATGGATGTGTGAAATCCCCTTCGCTGCAGAAAGTGCTATCTTAACTCGACTTTCCCAGTCCAAATGAGTTCTTTCCATTGCCGGGCTTCCTGTATAAAGAAGGTGGAAAGATGGATGAATTATATCCCAACTTATCATTGGTACTTAATTATAAAAAACTTCATTTGTAAATTGTAATCTGCAAGAACTGCTCAAATTCTAGGTCTGGTACAGTCCAATTCTTTTATATTTACAACAACTAGCAACATCCCAGCCCAAAAAAGTTTAAAAGATCCATGGTTTGACAAATTCTTTTATATGTTCTGTAAACAAAATCAATTGCATAATTAAAAAAATATATGTTCACAACCCATTATCTCAACCAATCTCAAGTGTTATTGACATGTTGTTTCTTCTACATATCTATAACTCTATAAGGGAGTTCTTATTGGTTTAGTTGTTAAAAAGTCCATACTTTTGAGTTTTGACTGTGGGAAACTTTAATACTGAAACACCTTTAATAAGTTTGGTCTCAATGGCATTCTTTAAACAGAGATTATTATGTAATACAAGTATATCATTGCTAATACATACTTGTCATATCATATAATGAATATAATGAAGGCTCCTGATACGATTTGGATTCACAAGTCTATATATAAAGGTAATTCAAACCATTGAAAAAGTATCTTAACCCGATTTTCCCATTCCAAAGGAGTTTTTCAATGTTAGTGTATGAGTGTTTTACTGAGGAGGAGGTAAGAATCAAAGAGTGCACATACCATGGAGAAGCGTTGACAAACTGCCTCTTGTGAAATGGTCATAGACTAGAAGTTTCTCATCCTTGGAATAATAATATGCACGCAAAGGCACCACATTAGGGTGCTGTTGTCCAACCCTGCCAACAACTTCCATCTGTTGTTCAAACTCCCTCTTCCCCAGTATGACGTCTTTCAGCCTCTTAACAATCACTGTTGTTGACTCCTCCAGAATAGCCTTGTATGTCGTCCCAGAGCTCCCCTTTCCCATCACTTCGGCTGAAGCCCTTAGTAAGTCCTCAAGATCAAAGTTGTATGAACATCCTTCAAAGAAAAACAACTTGTTTTTCTCTGCTTCCTGCACCCCACTGCCAAATTCCTCCCTTGGTTTATCACCCCTTCCTCTGTTAGGAGGCTTTCCTTTGAGGGAACGTATAGTATTACTCTCTCTTTTCTTCAGGCAGCAAAAGAGAATGGATAAAGCAACTATAATGAGTAGCACTGCCCCACTAGCTGCAATGGCAATTATAACTCCCAACTTGAGCCTTTTCTTAGGGCTGTGCGTTTTTCTCGCTTCTGTCTCAAGAGGGGAACAAGGAATTAAAGGTAACCCACACAACAATGAGTTGGCCACAAAAGCAGAATTTGGAAAGTTTTGAAGGGATGGTGGGATAGAACCATTAAGAAAATTGTGACTTAGATTCAAATGTTTCAATCTTGGGAGCATCAGATTGGGAATTTCACCAGTGAATGAATTATATGAAAGATCCAAAACGATTATTTTTTGGGGTAAAACAGTTGGGATATGACCGGAAAAGTTGTTATTTTGAAGGAAAAGATAACGAAGTGATGAAAGGGAAGTGAGGTCTGAAGGAAGACTTCCATTTAGATAATTAGCTCGAAGACTGAGAATCATCAAGGCATCCAGCCTTCCAAGGGTCTTTTCGGGAATTGGACCACTGAGTCCAATTCCCGGAAGTCGAACAGAAACCACACGTGGACCCACACCTCTACTACATTTAATGCCTACCCAAGAGGAACATAGGGGGATAGCTGGATTCCAGTTGATCCCGCGATCATGGGGGACAGAATTTATAAAGGCAAGAAGGGCTTGTTCATCTGAGTTCAAATCACCAAGAGTATGGGAAACAAGTGTTGCTAGAATGAAAAGGGAGCAAAAGCAGTGGAAAATGGAGAAGATTTTCATGTCCAGACTTCTTGTCATAAGAAAGCAATGTCCTGAGATTTTCCTGCAAGAGTATGGAGGGATGGAGATTACACAAATGAAATGAAAGTAGAACACTTTAGATTTAAGAAGTTCAAAAAAAATATCAAAATGAAATTAAATGTCCACAAGTCTGCAAAGTTCAAGAAACAAAAATCACTCTATTTACCACATCAATTGTACACCAAAGCATCACAAAGCGCTTGTTTTTTTAAGGGGAGAAAGAGAATGAAGAGGAGTAGAGGTCTTTTACAGGACACATGACCTATTAGAAATTCAGAATAGACACTAACTTATAAACATGTAGTCATGTAGAACATTGCTATGGACTTATGGAGAAAACCATCATCCACATATGGATAGAGGAGTAGAGGTGTTATGTGACACCATTAGACAAAGACAACTACCGTCATAATGTGTTGAGTGGGTCCTAGGCAATTAAATAAAATCTAGCGGTGACACATATGACTTCCTCGACATAAATGGTAGGATATTCATCTCGATATAAAATCACTTTTCAAAAGAATCTAGCAGTAGAGTTTCTTACAGTTTTATAGTTTATCCATTGAAGCCTACTTACAACCAAACAGGACAACCGACAAATTTTTATTAGTCTCTTTCTTCCCCTTACTGAAATGACTTACTAAGAAGCATAGTTTGGAAGTGTGAACATTGAAATATGAGGACTAGGAGAATTTCATTGAATACAGGACAGGCTTAGCTGAATGTAATAAATGTCATTAAAACATAGAGCCCTGCTTAACAATCCAAAACCAGCAGTTCTACTTCATTACAATCAAGTTGCTGCATAGATATTATCACTCATTCAGACATTCACTCGAAATTAAGCGTCGAAACTTCTCAACACGATCAGTTCCACCGAGTTCTAATCAAACTTAAAAATCACAAAGGAACATGCGCTACACAACGCTCAGATCTGCAATAACAACACTCTGTAAATAAGCTCATAAGAAAAAGCAGCAAATAACTGGACAAACAAAATCAAGTTCTACTACAAATCAGAATCACGGACGGAGTACCTTGAAGCATTTGCAGGTAACATTGCCGTCTCTATAAATGCTTACAACAAGGATTCCTGAACTAGCAGGAGCCTATGAGTTTGACATTTCGAACCTAGCAATCGATCATATGCACGAAACCGACGGTGTAACTGCATTTCTGACGGTTTTAGATCCCGAATAAAGCAACTCTGAAGAGAAACTTTGCAGCTAAAACTGAGAGGAGAGTGAAAATCACAGTGTTTATGTGAATCCCGAGTAAAGAGGACAGAATGGTTGAAATTCAGAGAGGGGAAAGAAGAAGGAGAAGCGTCCAGTGTTTCTGTTTGCCCACGTTAAGAGAGTTGGAAAGTGGCTCTGCCTTTTGGCTTTGGTCAATCCCATTTCAACGATTTGGAGGAGAGAGAAAGTATGTGTTAGTTGGAGCGAACGTGTAGTCGTTTGTTTCTACGTATTACGGACTGCTCCGTATATTCTCTTACTACGTATTAATTAATCTTGTTCTATTTCTTTGTTTAAGCCCTTGATTAATTCGTAATTGTAGCTTTAGGCCTTTACTTTTATATTTTTGACGTGTTTTACGTATACAGTATTACAATCGCCCATTTTTTTTGAATAAACTTGTTTTATTTTTTAAATATTTGTTTAGGAAAAAGGGAATAAAGCAAGCTTATGCATATATACACGAATCAAATTTATGTATTAAGAAAATCAAACGTATTAGGAGTGAAAGATTTGGTGGATAGATCCCATAAGTTAAAGAAAGAATATATCCTCATCCTTTAATAAAAAGAATGTGACAAATAACTAAAAACAATTACATACTACCTCCTTCTCAAATTGATTTGTAGATTTGACTTCTCTAGGTCAAACAGTTTCCTTTTATTTATTTAATTAGGATGTTAATTTTTAATTATATTTTAATTTGAAATTTGAAGCTATGAAGAGATTTCAACGTAGTTTCTAAATATGTAAATTTTAATTATTAAAAGTTGGATTAATTATCAATAGAGAGGATTGACTTTTATTATTGATTGACCAAAATGTTGACTTTGCAAAACAATTTGGGACGAAGTGAGTATATATTAAAATAAAAATTGTTACAAAAAGGTGACATTTCAAGTGTTTGCTATATACGGAGTAGTAACTAACTTTAGTCATTGGAATGTATGTTCAATTTTTATCCTAAAATTAAATCACTATGACAATACATACATACATACATACATACATACATACATACATACATACATACATACATACATACATACATACATACATACATACATACATACATACATACATACATACATACATACATACACACACACACACTTTAATACGGAGTAACTTCTACTCATATTTTTCGTATATAAGTTTTAGGGTTTTTTACAAGAATATTACTAAAATAAAACTTATTTATATAAATATGATTATTCATTACTACAACGTAGTGTTGTTGTAACTTAAGTTCAAAACTAGAACATGAATTACTATGATTTCATTACTACTCTAGTAATTAGTCATATTTTTGTAAATCATTTCTATTTTGGTCATATTTATATAATTATTTGTAAGTTTTATTCTAATACGTAGTAATATTAAAAAAACTCAAATTACTACTCCGTAATAAAGAGATCGAGTCTTATAGCTGAGTACGTACATGCTGAGTTGGTGCAGGTACATAGTTACAATATTGATTAATTTTACATTATTTATATGCTCTACTTTGATCATATTTTATTTATTAATGTACTATGGATTAATTTCTGGAAAAACTACAGTAAATGTACATGTGGTTAGTCGTGTTTTCAAGTAAGGTCATATATTTCATTTTTTTTATCAAAGTTGTTAATGTGTTTGAACTCCGTTATCATAAGAGGGTAGTGGCGCCTAGACCTGCTCAAAAACGTGTTCGGGCTGGACTTTGTATAATTTTATTGCCCATCATGTGTGGGCGGGCCCAGCCCGGCCCACAAAAATGGGCCTAACCCCATGCCCGTACCCGCATGTTGGAGCGGGCCGGGTAGCCCACCGGGCCGCCTGGCCCGGGAAAGATTTAAAATTTTCAAAATTATATGTAGTATATTTTTTTAATCCTTTATAAGTAATATTATGACATTTAAAAAATTGCTAATACACTTATACTCTAGTAATGTTTATAGGTCTTTCACCGCATACACACAAAAAAAACTTACACAAAAATAATACAAAGAAACTATTTCTAAAATTTAAAACTCAAGCACGAAGTATTATCTTTAAGTACAATAATAATTATTCTATTATATTGGTTGGACTAGTTGTTAAGAACTAAAAACTGAAATTTAAATATACTCCCTCCGTCCCAGAAAATTCTTCCTACGTTGACTTGACACGGAGATTAAGAAAGTGGAATAAAGTGGAAATGTATGGTTGTGGCTGTGTAAGAAAAATGTGAAATGAATGTGAACCACACAAATTGTCCAAAAATGGTAAGTGGAAATTTTTTTTGGGACGATCCAAAAAGGAAAGTGGGAAGAATTTTATGGGACGGAGGGAGTAATAAACTATAAATATGTATAGAGATAAATTAGTAAATATAAATATACATGTGTACATGTAAATAAATAAATAAATTAGTATATATATATAAATATATATATGTGTATATATACTAAACGTGTCAAGTACCTTGCAGTCTGATGGCATCACTGTGATACTCCATGGGAGGAGGTCACAGGTTCGAATCCCATCTCAGTTCAATGATGTTGACATTAACATTGAGCAGATACTATATTGGTTAGCAAGAATTGTCCCCCCCCCCCCCCCAAAAAAAAATACTAAATGTAGCGGCCAGGCTTATCGGCCCAAACGGGCCTACACCCTAACCTAAGTTCGCCCATATGTTATTGCGGCCCGGCCCTGGCCCAGTGGTTAAATATATATGCCCAAGCCCGCCCATTTGTGCAGGCTGCTGGGCGGCCCGCCCGGCCCGACCCGGTTTTGTGCAGGTCTAGTACTGGCGCCTGACGCTGTTAAAAACGCCTGAGAAAGACGATGAACAATAACTCCGATTTTCAAAAGTGCCCGAAAAAGAATTAAAAGAAAAATAGTGGAAGGTGCGCCTCTTCAATGATTAGCTAAGAATTAGCAACTACAAGATAATCGTTCCTTGTAAATTAACTATAGTTTTAGCTTGTGAATATTAAAATTAACTCCGACAATCAATGTGTACCACTCATAATTTATTTGTGAGACAAATTTCAAAGGCGGGGTTTTCTAAAAATTACTACGTACAAGTGAATGAGTATTGGGAGTTCAAATGATTTTGTTTTTACACAAAGTACGTACTTTGACTAACTTGCATTCTCATATGCGTGCTGCCGCTTAAGTCACTTATAATTTGGGATTTGCTTAATTAACGTGAGGCCCCACTCAGTGCTCTATATGATCCGGGTACTGTGTTGTCTGTGTACTTGACTATCATTAACCACCAATTAAGCTAAAAAATAAAATCTTTTAATTTCTTTATTTTTTGCGGTGCTTGGGGTATTGTATGGTTGTTCACTAAATTAATTCTTATACTAAAAATCATTTGATAATATTAAAGTTGGTTGAATCTGCTGAAATTGATGATTGTTTTGGCTGAAGCAGTTAAATATATTGAACATGCTAATTATGACAAGAAATATTTAAACATTACTAAACTAAAGAAATGATTATATGAAAAATAGTTAAAATTGCCTTATACAATAACTTCAATTAGAAAAGTAACATACTATAAAACATGTATATACTTCAAGATATACATGTTTGGTAAAAAAATTACTAGTAATATAAATCTGATAAAAAAGGTTGTTTGGCTCTAAGTTTCAATTTTAAAAAAGTTGATATACGTTGTTTTATGTTATTGGGTGGAGTACTGTACTAGTTGTTGTCGTTAAATCTGAACTACAAGCTTAAACTGGATATTAAAGGATATTACAGATCTAGTACAGTCTACATACAGGTAATACACTACTGCCTATGCAAAAAGATACGGAGCCCTACGTATTTAACTTTCTCTTAAAATGGTGAGTGGTATTTTATCACACAAAAATAATCTGTAAGGCAACATGTGAATAAATTATAAAAATAATGATATAGTATTACATCTGATCAGTAATGCGATCACTAAGAAAAATGTGTTTATTTGATTGATAATGAATTAAAAATATGAAAATAAAATATGATAATGTTTTAGAACCGTACAAATATTATTAAATTGATATGAGACCATTTTAGTTTAACGAATCAAAAGGGAAATATGTGAACTACTACAATAAATAACAAAGTTTTAATAATAAATATATGTGCAATCTGGTCGTACGGTGCATACTATTTCTTTTTTTAATGACATTAATGGCACGTACGGTTTTAACCTTTTTTGGCAATGTTTTAATCTTTTAATTACTGTGCTTAAAGCAAGTTTATTACATTATGATACGGAGAAAAAGAGTACAAGACAGAACAATCATTGAGATTAGATACCTTTTGCCAACTAAACTATTGAATATTCAATGCTTTCTCGAAGAAAACTCTTGTTTACGGCTACTTGTGCACAAGATTGTATATCAAATTATATATGCATATATTAACATAACTTTGAACGATTGAATATAAATATTAGTCAAAAAATCAAATAGTTATTCATGTATACTGATATGTATCCGATTTAATTATTAAAAGCTTTTAGATTGCTTTCACTCTTTCAGATTGAACACCTTCCAATGCAAACATATAATAGATGTAAGGCGTGTTTAATTTGAAATTTAGTTGTTAACAATTAGCAGCGAATTGTTGTCAATATTGAATTCAGTCAGCGGATTTGATTAGTAGAATTGAATAAGTTGGCGGGTTTCCATAAAATGTTTGATAATTCAGATTTTTTACCATAACAATTAGTAGAAAATGTCATATTTCAAAAGACTAATCCAAAATTTTCTTACTGGCAATGTTTTCTTTTGAGCGGTTCTGTCTAAAAACCCTATGACCAAAAACAATTATTTACTAAACCTCATTTTTACACATTGAAAACGTTAAAATGAGTTGAAAGACCATCATTTTTTGACTGACACGTCATATAACAAACACGCCCGTTATAATATAGGGAAAATGGAAACTAATAATCCAACTTTTTAGCGGTCTTCTTACAATAGTCCCACCTTTTGATTATTCATGAATAATCCAACCCTTGCACCTCATCTTCATTCACTGGTCCCTGACCGGTTCATGACCTGTTGTTCCAAGTTATTTTCTTATCTTTGCAAAATATTATCTTTGTGAAAGGTGAGATTTATGGTATAATGGTTTGCACAGACAAGAAAATAACTTGGAATAACAGGTCATGAACAAGTCAGGAACCAATGAATGAAGATGAGGTGCAAAGGTTGGATTATTCATGTATAATCAAAAGATGGGACTATTGT